TCACCACCAAACCAGTATTATATGAAATGCTGAAGGATATTCTTTCAGAAGAAGAAGAAGAAAAAGGTAAAGATACAAATTATGAACAACAAATACACATCTATCAACAAGTGAATCTAAAAATCAAGTGAATAAATAATCTGATGAACAGTATGAACTGGTGATTGTAATAGAATCAGGGACATAGAAAGGAAATGGACTGACTATTCTTGGGGGGGTGGGAAGGAGGGGGACGTGGGAAGAGATTGGACAATAATCGTACACCTATGGATGAGGACAGTGGGTGGGGAGTGAGGGCGGAGGGTGAGGTGGGAACTGGGTGGAGGGGAGTTATGGTGGGAAAAAAGAGGAACCAATGTAATAATCTGAACAATAAAGATTTAATTAAAAAAAAAGAGTAACTCAAAGACCCACAGTTAAATAAAACTTACCAATCGACAAACAGAAACAACAAAACCTTCCTTCAGGCAATATCCAATTACCCCTTTAGGCTAGAGCTTGACATCCCAATGTACAACCCACACCCCATTGAAAACACAAAACAATCGTATTTGAAAGGGGCTATTAGCTCATGATAACACAATAACATGACACAGTAATTTTTCATCTGTCACCATGGTGATTGAAGAAGAAATCTGGGAGAATTACAGGTTTTAGAATATGACCCGTTGGATGGTGGGAAGAGGAAGTTCTGGAGCCTGAGATCTAGCAAGGAAGTGTCTGGATGGACAGGGTGCCAGGTGAGGAACCCCAGCCACCAAACGGAGCAAGCAGGGGGAGGCAGACCCTGGACTGGCAGACTGGCCACAGGGAATGAGGAGGGAAAATGAAGACAGATTCAATGTCTGTCTGCCTGAGCCATCCCTGGCAATAAGACCTGGGACTACAGGAGGTGATCCCAAGACACAGGGTCACCTCCACTGGACTGCATCCAAAGCACACCCAGCCTTGAGAGTTGATGGAAGGCTAGGCTGCTCAGAGAGCTGCAGACACAGCTGGAAGAACCTGGGACGTGAGCTAAGCCAGCCCGGGCCGTCCTCCTATCACCCACAGACACACGTCCTCCTCTCACCCACTCATCCCTGGGAAGCACCGTTGACTTTCTCTTCCTGGCTTTCTTCCCAGCCTCTGTGCCCGGTGGGAAGATGCTCACAGAGAGATTTCCCGACTGCTCGGTAAAGAAGACACCTCACCTGGAATGCTGGACTGGAGCACGTTGTCCTCCGTGCGCTCGGCAATCACCACGTGTCTCTGATGAGATCCGTCATAAATAAAGTAAAACTCGGCATCTTTAGGAAGATAGACATTTTTGTCGAACTTCGCACACACCGTCATCTGCCCCTGAAAAACGAACAAGGTGGGGCATCACCACACTGCCTCATCCTGGCTCTCAGGAACCACACAAAAAGCACCCGCGTCCACGGGGCGGTCTGTCACCTTCACTTCTCGCGAGAGCGCTCAACTAGTCCGAATCCGGCTTTCCAACAGCAACGTTTGGGTACCTGCTGATATACTGAAATATGAGTGTCAGAGCTGGTTAGTTGTGTTTTGAAAGTTGAAGAAGTTTAGAGTGTAGTGAAGGGTTTTTTTTTTCTTTTTCACTTAGGGGATGTGAAAACGTGGTACTTTGTGTTTTACTCTGTTTGAATTCCTACCTGATGAGCATCATTGCTTGTATTCATTTTTCCCTCTACCTGAGATACCACCCTGGCATAACGATTCAAAATGATTCATCTTTAGCTATGGCCTTACCCTGGACTACATACATCAGCGTCTGTTGTGACAACCTTAAATATTTCACACACGTTGCCAAATAAAGAGAGCCACATGCTCCCACACTCGTGTGCCTTTTCCAGTAGCTTTTTGTCCTCTCTGAGGGATTTCCAAGTCCTCTCTCTCATCTGGCCTGGCCTCACGCTTTCTCTTGAGAGCTTCTGTTTGGAACAGAGCCCTGGTCCTAAGGACAGGTGCTGCCCCCCTGAGCCACCAGGGCACACTCTGAGGAAGGAAGGAGTGAGAAGGGAGCGGGCTCAGCAAGCTGGTGCTCTCCAACAGGACCATGGGGGGGGTGGGCTGTGAGGAGGGGCTACATCAGCAGTGCTTTCAAGAGAGCACCAGCGATGGAGGAGCCTGCCAGTTGATCTTGGGACTTTGGAGGATTCCGGACACTCCCTCCCCTCAAACATAAAATGGGTAATACAAAGGGGACCTCCAGGGAGAGGGTGCATTCCGCCCAGCCTGTGGGAGTGGCCGGGAAATGGAGACCAGGAGGTGGGAAGGGTTGCCCTCTTTGGCGGCCTCCAGAGCTCGGCCAGTGTGGAGGAGCATCTGTGAGCTGGCCCAACAAAAACAAACCCTCCTCCGAGCACGCCTCACCCTGGGATGAGAGGAAAGGGAACAGAGAAAGGCTATGCAGTCTCTTTCACAGCTGTTTGCCTTTGATGGATATTAGCATGTTATTCCCTAGGCTCTCAAGAGTCAGGCTGATCAGTATCAATACCAAAATCAGACTGGTGCTCCTCTTTCCAGTAACCACATGGCCAGCTCTTCTAAAATGTTAAAAATAAAAAGGCTATGTTTTTCTAGGAGTTTGAAATCCATGCCACACATGAAACATTATCTTAAATTTTGAATTGGTATAAACACAAATTGTGAAGTTCTAAAAAAAGTCACCGGTTCCCAATTTTGAATGGTCCTGTCTCTGCGTGTGAGCTCGCACACACACGCACAAACATAATCAATAGAAAGTCACATGCCAAGAAAAATCTACCATACAATAGCTTCAAAAAAAGTTCAGGAAGAGGTTCTGAAAAGCAAGAAAAACAATAACAACAGTCTGACATGACTGAGAGAGGAAACTTAGATGAAATTCCATTTCCTAAAAAAGGAAGAACAGCTTGCTTTAGTCATGCTCCTGGTTGCTAAAGGGGCTGTTAATTACTCACAGACAGAATCTGGCCCAACCTGCTGATTTTTTTTTTTTAATAGAAAACATATTGTGTAAATAGATCAAAGTTTTTCACAGATCACAGGATATCTAGTCTATATCTATTCAAAACAATGATCACATTACTATTTTATCTGATTGGGTGAACAAGAACTGCAACTCATGAAAGAGCTTAACTACAACGCTTTTCAATGTGATCCAAGACAGTAGTTTTACAATTCAGTTATGCCTCCCTTTCAAGACCATACCATGATTTACATTGATAAAAGAAGATAAACAATCAGCTCAGAAACTACACCTGTCCATTAGAGAGAGATGTCCAGAAGTCCTGGCATTAAGAATAATATTCAGCATAAAAGGAGTTTATGATTTGCTAATCATAAAGAGATCAGAAAGACACAGTATAATTACAAGAGAAGGAAGAAAGGGGGTAATAAAAAAAACAACAACAGAGAGAGACACAATGAGAGAGAAGAAAGGGAGGGGAGGGGGCGTGGAGATGGCAAGAGAGAAAGAGGAAGACAGGAAAGAAAATGTGAATTCATAAAGCTTAACAAAAGGAAGATAATCCAATCAAAACTGGACAAAGGAACTAAATAGACACTTTTTGAAAAGGACATACAGAAGACCAAGAGACATATGAAAAAATGCTCCAAGTCACCAATCATCCGAGAGATGCAAATCAAACCAGCAATGCAGTACCACCTCACACCTGTAGGAATGGCTGTCATCAACAAATCAACAAATGATAAGTGCTAGCAAGGATGCGGAGAAAAAGGAACACTGGTGCACTGCTGGTGGGAATGCAGACTGGTGCAGCCACTATGGAAAACAGTATGGAGTTTCCTCAAAAAACTGAAAATGGAACTCCCATTTGACCCTGCATAAATATTGCATGACCTCACTCACTTGTGGAATATAATGTACAAAAATAGATCCAGAGACACAGAAGCATCAAACAGACTGCCAAACCTCAGAAGGAAGGCAGGGAGGGGTGGGAGGATGGGGGTAAGAGATCAACCAAAAGACTTGTGCACATGCATATAAGCAAAACCAATGGACACAGACAGTAGGGGATTGAGAGCATGTGCTGGGGGGTGGGCATGGCCGGGGAGAAGTCAATGAGGAAAAAAGGAGTTCTATGTAATACTTTTTCAACAATAAAGAATTTAAATTTTTTAAAAATGTGACTATGAAAGAACATTTTCATTCAGAAAAGTTAGATAAAGTTCAAAGGTTTAAATATTGCTCCAACGGAGTTCAGCAGGAGGAATGGGCTTCTCAAATTGTGCTGAGGACCAAGGTACAACATAATCAGCCACAGGTGACAATTTTTCACCACGATTGGGGTCTTTCTCATCACTGTGGCCACTGAAAATATGCCACTTTACTTACAGGGCCACTAATTTTATTACTGGCAAAGATAAATTGGAGTGTACAGAATTCCAGTGTGCCTCCACCATGTCTCCATCTGGATTCAATCACATGCTTTGTTTTAAGCAATTGAAAACTGTAAACTTTGCTAAGTGAATTTGTTGGCATCAATACCAGAATCACTCTGCTTCTGCCCAGAAATAACAGAGATGTGTTATCACCTCTCTGTCAATTCACTGTATCCCAAATACAAAAACACTCAGCTATTTCACTGGAACTTCTGGAAACAATAAGAGGCAAAATTATCTCCCCAAATTTATCTATAAATTTAATGTACTCTAATCTAAACCCAAAGTGAATTTTTCAAATGAAACTCAACAAGTTTATTCTAAAGTTCATCTGGAAAAATAAATATACAAGGCTTGAAACAAATGTTTTAAGAAAGCATGATGTTTGCGCTGGGGGAGGAGACAGGGGGAGCCTGGAGATCAGAACTTACCTCTCAAAACATACAGTGAAACCATGGAAATTTAAACAGTGCAATGGTGGCACACAGAGAGACCACTAGGTACAGAGTCCAGAAACAGATGCATGGAAATTATGTAATAAAGGTGGCATTTCAAATCAGTGGGGAAAGAATGTTCTACTCAATAAATAGTTTTGAAACAATAGCTCTCCATTAGGAAAAAAACATTCTTCATATCAAGGAGTTTAATTCCCAATTAGTGCAATATTGCACATAATTCATAAGCACATAAAATTAGAAGACTACCTAACATTTTTCATTATTGCACAAAATGATAGCAATTAAAAATATCTACATGTCATCTATATGGACACCACCCTAATACATCAACAGTTTTTCATTTTTTCCTCTTTCCTTCCAGTCTTTGTTCAATGCACAGCTAAAAATTACATAGCTATACTCATGGCATAAATACACATCACATATGGTTGTGCTTTCCTCTCTCCTGTGAAAAATATTTTTCCATGTTGTCACAATCTTTGGCACTATTTTTAATTGCATTCCATCAAGTACTTGAAGCTCTGTGACTTAATAATGTACCCTATTGTACATTAAGGGTATTTGTAGCCTAGCCTAACATTACAAAAAATACTACAATAAACATTTTCATGTACGTTGTTTCTATGCTTTAAATCACTTTTTAGAATAAAATTCTAGAAATGGTCCAAGAATGTGAAAAATTGTCACAAATTGCAAAACTGATTTCCAAAAATGTTACATCAACTTTCATCACTACCTGAATTGGGCAAGCGTATCATTTTCATCCCAATTTTGCCAAAACTGTCTTTTTTAGTATTTCCTAAGTTAACAGATAATAAACAATTCTCATTGATTTAATTCATATTTTCCATTGCCACTGAAATTTATTGCCCACTTTTATAAAAGTCTAAATGGTGCCATCGTTGTTAGTGGCCTGATTAAATTTCTACTTACAGGATTCTGGTCTTCCCTCTTTTATTCACCTTTGCCTTAGGCAGATCAAAATTTCCACTTTCCCAAGTGAACCAAGTGAGATCAGCATCAGGGTTATTCCTTTTCCCCTCTGAAGAGTGAAAGTGTACCACCTACCTCCCTTCTCATGCCCAAATAAGAAGCACTCAGATACTCCTGCAAAACCTCTGAAGGCCAGGTAACATGGAAACAGCAATGACAAATGTAAAAAAGAAAAGCTGAACTGAGTATAATAATACTAAATATACCTCAATATAAGCTCAAACAAAGAATATCCAGTAAATTACACCAGCCTTGTTTTACCATCAAACAGCCCCTAAGAAACGCTACTTGCAAAACTTACCAGTAATTCTCAAAGACCAAGCTTTCCTCATGAAGTGCTACATCTACGAATTTCTTCTCAAAAGTACCAAAAAGATATCAAATGTTTTTGCCACCTGACACTATTTCATCCAACTCTCCTGCTCCTCTCCAATGGCACTTACGATGAAAATGGTCCTTGACACTGAGGTGCGCATTCTCAGTGTTTTTCCATCCATCGAT